CCATCTGTCTCTCACACCACTTACTGGCTGATTAGACTTCATAATGAGCTTTTCTGACATTGCACTTAACATTGTGATTCAACACATTTGACTTCATGTTTATGTTTCATAAACATATTGACTTAACTATGTATAAACTATGTCTTAGCTCCTAATGAAATATTTCTACATATATTCCTCATAATAACCCTATGAGGCAAATATGATCAGAATCCCCACTTTGTAGCTGAGCATAAACAGAACTGGGGAGAAAATCCAGGAAATGTGGTCCCAGCATCCGTGGTACACCCCTTAGGCTGTGTTCCCCTTTAGGAGGCTCTCTCAATCATCTTGTGCTGCCACCAGTGTGGTCTAAGATCTGCTCCACATCTGGGACTCCCTGTTTTCTCCAAGATGTGACCTTTTTCTGGTTTAGCAGGTTTTACTGCTTCTAAGAACCATTATATTCTGTGGGTCTCTAAGTGTGGTCCAGGACCAGCAATATCAGCTGCCACTCTTGGGTCCCATCCCTGACCTACACCCCAGATCCCAAACCCCAGGGTTGGTCTCAGTGATCTGCTATCAAGAGACTCTCAGGAGATTCTGAGGCACACTCAAGCTTAAGAGCTGTCGTCCTCTTTGTACCAGTCTAAGTGCCCTGTCCCTTGATGTGGCCATACTTCCTGCCCTGCCTCTTCCCATGCTGCACCTTTCCTGAAGCTTCTCCCAGCAGTGTCCTGTTTGGCTGCCAGTGCCCAGATCCATCCTTCAAGACCAAACCTGACTTGAAGGATGGATCAGGGCACTCATCACTCACTTTTAGGAAGCCTCTTCTCTTTACCTTGTCCTATATTTCTAACAGTTCTGTGTTCTCTTTGTGATGATCTTCCTCATGCTTTATACCTGTTTTTTGCTCCCTCATAACAGTTTTATTGCTCTACCTATGTCATTGTTGTACTTGTCACATAAAGTAGAAAATTTAAGGTTGAATATTCATGTCTACCACATTTCCACTGCAATTCCTGCAACAGGGAAGGGYTTCATAAAGCATTGCATTGAATGGTTATTGTTAGCTCAAAGAGAAACTGATTTTGATTGAAAAAATTAGGGACGATTGCTTTGGAAAAATAAATTTACCACTACAATTCAGAACACAATCATTTGACAGAGCAAATGGTTTTAAAAGATTCCGTTGTTACCTCCTATCAAATCAAGAAACGTCTGTGCTGTGGATCTCAATGGCTCCCTGACCCTTCAGTTACTTTCCATTACCTACCCCAAAGTGACTTTCCAAGGGTAGTGTTATGCCCTGTGTGGTCTGACCTCATGTGATGACAGAGCATCTCTGGGTGTGTGTGGCTTTTTTGAGCTCTAACTACATATAACTGTACTCTTTGACTGTCATGGCTCCCAGAAGTACCTTGAGGTCCACTAAAACACCCAGATTTCCCCCAGCTTCTCCAAGGCAATATTGGATCAGATGTTATATTAATAACTGAAAGAGAAGCATAAATATTTTATATCTTTGAACATAGCTGCTTAAAATGGTTTTTAAAAATTTATTAGTGCATTATAGTTACACATACTAGTGGGGTTCATTTTCACCTATTCATAAATGCATATAACATAATTTTCTTCATTTCAATCCTCAGCACTTTCTCTTTGTCTTCCCTCCTTCCCTAAGCCTCTTACTCTACTCTTTTGAAATTGATCAAATTATGCTATGTGCATGTATGAATATGTCACAATTCATTCCAATTAGACATATAACTATAATGCACCAATTAAATAAATACAATGAAGACTAAAATTGGTTTTGAGCACTCACCCTCTCGATGTGCTTCATTTGAATCTAATGTACTGCAGATATATAAAAGGTCCTGCTCATTCTTTAACCTGTCAGGGTATAGGTCTACATCATCCCTATTCCACAATTCTGAAACACACACTCCACAAGCCAAAAGATTTTTAAAGAACTCATTTGATGACAAAAATTGACCTGAATCTATTTATAGGCTACATTTATCCCACTTAGTGTAGTACTCCTGCATTTTTTTCTGCAGGAATGTTTATTTGATTATGTGTTTTTAGTGTTCACTGAATTTTTTTTTAATTTTTAATATTTATTTATTTTTTTTAGTTTTCGGCGGACACAACATCTTTGTTTTTGTATGTGGTGCTGAGGATCGCACCCGGGCCGCATGCATGCCAGACGAGTGCACTACCTCTTGAGCCACATCCCCAGCCCTGTTCACTGAAATTTTGCCACTAAATATTCAGTATATTCACTGTATCAATAATTTTGGGGGGGGGTACCAGGGATTGAATTCAATAATTTTTAAAAATGAAATAAAAAACACATCTGACCCTAAGGGTAGCAGACAAGGACCTATTGTCCATGCACAGTATAAAGCTAATAAACAACAAAATTCAGATAATGTATTTGCTTTGTGACATGGCCTGCTTAGGGCTGCTATAGATAAGGCCACTTTTGATTCTAGAAGTTCTGTATTAAGATTGTACATCATTCAATCTAGATTATTTCTTAATRTTTCCCTAACACTTATAGGTTGAGGCCACTGAGATTGCTCTTGTCATTTCCACACTGAAGGGAAATACTCTTGAGAACTCTGTGACATTTTCAGCTCTCCACCAGAAGTATTTAATGTACTCCTAAGAACACAGGAAATCAAATCAGAAGACTTACTTCTTACACATGTATCAGGCTAGAATTTGCTGAGATAAAATTTTAACCAGTTTTAATATACTTTCATGAAATAAAGCAAAATATTATCAAAATATTTTATTAAAAAATGTAGTCCCTACAATTCTTTAAAAGTGTAAGTGGTGAGTTTAGCTCTTGTGTGACATTTTGTCCACACCAAAAATGATTTAAGAACATTTTCCTTCACATCTATGTGGACTCCAGTGGAGTTATCTTATAATACCTTTGTTAACTCAGAACACCCAAGAGTCAGGGCGAGTCTGCTCCAAAATCATTTCACCAGTTTTATTTTACAAGAAAACAATATGAAGCAAAGCTAACCTATTCTTTCTGTGGCTTTAAAGAACCTTATTTCTCAGTTGTGAAACAGCCTGCCAGATCTTCCAGTGTATTATATAAGAGATAATTTTTATAAAGTGCCAGAGCACCAAAGAGAGTCCTGGTAGACGTATAAGTATCTTCATGTGTTTATACTCACTACTTTCCATCAGCATGAATGGCAAGGCTCAGCTTCACTTAATCTAAAAACTTCATGTAGTAAAAATGTGGGGTCTCTGTTCCACCAGGCAGGAGCTGATAAAGGAGACATTGAGGAGGAAAAGTGGGAAGTTTGATTTCATCTTTGACATGCTTTTAGCTGGGGAAATAGGAAACGTTCATAAACTGGCTATGGAACACAGTGGTTAAAATCAAAAGCGCTGGGGAGCCCAGCAGTAGGAGCATTTTGTTTAATTCAGTTGAATGTATCAGAAGCTGGTGTTTCAGTGCTAAGAACATTTTAGCAGTTACCACCCCTGTAGCGGATGTAGCTTGTGAGAGCAAGGGGAAGAATAAAGGGAAATTAGGCACCACTAGCAGAATTGCAAATGAATTTATAATTATAATCTCCACCTATCCACTGTGTAAACAGTTCCTCCTTTTATTAACTTTTGATAAACTCTAGGGACAGGCTGCCTACTTCCATTGCATAGTATTTCCTTGAGAAGAGGAAGTGTGYATCTCTGATGGCTCCTGACAGAAGAGAAAAGAATCGAATGCTTGATTGAGAGGGAAAGTCAAATAAAAAATGAGAAATAAAAATAAAAAATGACTGTCACTTTCCTTCACCAAATTGTAAAAAGCAGAACAAAGTGAAGACAAATTTTTAGTAATTTTCTAGAGACTTCTTTTTGTCCTACGGATACTTAAACTTCCTCTCTATGTAATATATTGGGGAATACATGTGGTTCTGAAGTAAAATGTGAACAGGGTGGGCATAGGTAGAAAACTTACCATTGTGAATCATCATTGTGACTAGCCGTGCAAATATGATAATATTCTGTCTTTGTGAATATGGCACTTGTGAATGAAGAATCTTGGAATACTTTAGAAGGGACATTTAAACAATCGCAGAAGAAAAACAGAAGTTAAAACTTAAGAGAAAAGTACAATATTTGATTCCTTCCYTGAGGTACCAGGACCTTACAAAACATGCAAAATAAATGGTGCTCACAAAGCCCATTTGAAGACACATCTTATTTGGTCCCCATCATAGGATGTTCAGGCATCCAAGCTGTCAGTTCCTCAGTTCTCCAACCTGAAATGCTCAAAGAATGGAGGTAGAACTTCTGCAAAGTTTTTATCACATATATTTATGGAGTTATTTCTCTCCCCCCTTCCTACTAACTGGTACTCAGTTTTACAATGGCAATAGTTGAAATGTTAAACACAAGAAAAAAAGCCTGAGAGGTTGTTGGGCCAGGTATATTAAAATCAAAAAAATAGAATTATTAGGTATATACATAACAGCATAAGTGAAATGAAGTGACACAGCAGTTTCTGTCCGAAGCTGAGTACAAAAATCAAGTAAACAAAACATCTGGGGTGGTTTGTCACAGCTGCTCAAAGAGCTTCCTTAGTCACTTATTTTCCTTCATATCTTTACGTATAAATAGTCTCACACACATCTTATACAATTAAGATTGCTTAAGCACAAAAATAGCCCCAAATATGGCATTTTTACTTTCTAGAGTACAACTAAAATTAGTATTTGATTCTTAAAATAATATTCAAATCATYTGAAACAACAAAGGAAATGCTTATGTCTTAGAAAACCCTATAAGGCTCTGCAAAGATTAAAATCTTAATTTTGGTTTTCAAAGGGCACTGTCAAATAAGTCTTTATTTCGGAAATCATGGAACTGAAAAAGCTACACTGTCAAAAATATTCCTCCGAGAGAGAGAGAGAGAGAGAGAGAGAGAGAGAGAGAGAGAGAGAGAGAGAGAGAGAGANAGAGAGAGAGAGAGAGAGAGAGAGAGAGAGAGAGAGAGAGAGAGAGAGAGAGAGAGAGAGAGAGAGAGAGAGAGAGAGAGAGAGAGAGAGAGCGCAAACAGTTTCCCAGGTTCTTCCTTTGGCCTCTGTGAAGTTGGGAATCCCAGTTGCTGTGAGTGCTTGTCAATGGCGCTCCTGCAGGGGGCGCTCAGAGCGCACGTGCTACTTTGGGGCTGCCATAGGCCTCGAATCTGATCAGCGTTCATCAAAGAAAAATGTTTAAAGGTCTAAGATTTCCTGGGCAGGAAACCCCACAAAACCAAAAACACTTTAGTCTGGGAAAGACATTTTTAAGTTGCTGACTTCATCTGTAATATCTAACAGGTTGGATTAGTAATTTTTTTTTTTTTTAAGTAAGGCAAAGCACAAAGAAAATACAAAATGTCAGGCTATGCATCTGGTTATTTATGCTTTTTAAAAATTAGTATAGTTCTGCTTTACTGGGGATTTGTTGCAACGGTCTCTGAACCTTTGATTTACACATCCAATTGTAAACAGGGTTGGTGTGGGAGCACTTTTGGAGAAAACAGGTGTTTTCTTCTTAAGAGGTTGTATTCTGATGTTGGTAGCAGAGCAAGGTGACCAGCTAAGGTGTGGTCCAAGCTGTATCCTGCTGGGCATTAGTCCAAGAGAACAGAATACATTTCCATGTTCACTGTGAGCTTCCTGAGTAATTTAGCCTCTACTTTCAGGAATCAGGCATGGCAAATGATCGCAGCATGTGAGATAACTGGTGCAACCAGTGACTGTCACTTTCTTTCACCAAATGAGGCAGCCATTCCTGATGGAGGGACAAGTCACCCTGAGTGCTAAGGCTGCTGCTGATACTGCCCTTCCGTGGCTGTGTAGAAATCATCCAGGACACTCTGCAAGTAATCAAACGTTGGTCTCTCCTCTGCCTTTTCCTTCCAGCACATCTTCATAATGTCATAGAGCTCATCTGGGCAGTTCTCCATGCGGGGCATCCGGTAACCCTGAGACAGGGCAGTCATCACATCAGCATTGGTTCTCCCTAAGGCCAAAGAGGGAAAAAAAAGACATTTAGAAACCTGACAAGAGGGGCACGCATGCACTACAGAAGTCTTTTTGCTATTTACATCCTGCACCTGTGAGTGAAAAAAGTTTCATTAAATCTATTACAGGTGGAAGTGTATCCTCCTAAAATTCCTATGTTGAAGTCCTAATTTCCARTCCCTCAGAATGYGACTGTMTTTAGAAATAAACCTTTAAAGAGGTGKTCAGGGATGAGTTCTAATCAAATACGACTGGTGTCCTTCTAAGAAGAGGAGATTAAGACACAGGCCCAGAGTGGTGATCACATGAAGACACAGGGACAAGACTGCCATCTACCAGTCAAGCAGAGACTTGGATAAAACCAACTCTGTTTATGCTTTGATCTCTGTATCCTTCAAAGCATGGACTTTGGGTGAAGTTCTGGCATCGTGATGGAGGTAACCTCTGGAATGATRTAAACAGGAACTGGAACTGCAAATTTGGTTAGGAATATCTCTTTCACTTCTTTCGGTGAAAACCTCCAGTTGCATAAAAGTTCAGAATATGCCCACAGAAGATAAACCTTGCCAGATCCCCCTAACCTTACCACAGATATTTTCTTCCTTATTCTTCTGTATCCTTATTAGTGAACACAAAGTCCTCACTAACTCTRAAGGAAACTGTCAGTGATGCAGATAAAGGCCAGACATACTCCATTCTGTCTGGAGAATTTAACTTGATAAAAGGAGTTAAGTGGAAAGAATCTGAACTCTATCTTTTTATGCACAAATAAGTCAACAAACCAAACAAATCACTAAATGACAAGTCTTTGTAGAAGAAAGAAAAATATGGGGAGTGAGACCTCCATTAGACCCTGAGATTAAACTTGTTAGTTAGCACTTGGTCTGTGGTTTGGTTAAAGAAGGCAAACACCCATTGGCYGATGATTGCCTTACTAGACAAGCAATTTCATGTTCTATCCTTTAGTCTTTGACCAGTCACTTATTGATAATCACTAGAGTTTATAAGAAAGCACGAGGCTTTAAGAGAAGCAGAGACGATATCAATGGCACACAGCCCAATGGGGAAGACACCCTAGGTGGTGGGGGCAGGAAGYGGTATCTGGAGTGATCAGGAATTAGCAGATACTACAAGTTGGCAGAGGTACACAGGAAGAAAGAAAATGTGGTTCAACAGAGGTTAGAAAGGAATTGGGTTAGTGACAGGAGAGGGGACCCAGTAGTTCCACAGATTATAACAGTCTTTAAAGATACAGGGTTCCTGTGTGTGTGTGTGTGTGTGTGTGTGAGAGAGAGAGAGAGAGAGAGAGAGAGAGAGAGAGAGAATGAGAACCAGCCACCTTTTAACCATAGTTGTCTACTCAATAATAGTTTTTCCAAAAAGGCAAACAATTATTTTTATTTATTCTTTTTTTCTCTTTTCTGCTGAGAATTTTTTGTAGTAAATTCACAAGGATGATTTTTTAAATTCTGATGCACACATGGCATTAAGATGCTAGGTACATATGGCAGAAGACTGCTAGAAAAGACACAATGCTTCAGAACACTGTCATTTTCAAACCTCCTTTCTCTTTATATGAGCAAAGCAAATCAAAACCCTGGACCCAGGGACTTTTTCTTTTTACAAAATTCATATAGAGATATATAATTACAGTTTTGATTTTAAGATAATGGAATGAGGATCTTTTGCCTCCCCTTCCACTTTTCCCCTATATTTCACCCCAAAATAGAGAACAAAAMATAGAAACTTAAACTTCATCTTTGATGAAACTAGGAGACATCTGGCAGCCAKAGGTAGAGTGATCTGAGCCAAGAGGAAGAAAGTATAACTACAGTGCCCACAGAGAGGGATAACAGGCAGGGTGGCCCACTGGGACAAACACTGGGAGGGCTCCCAAAGGRGTGTCCAGAACCCCTTAAGGGAGGGCGAAGACGGTGGCCACAGGGAGGATGGTACCCAGAGCCTGCCTGGTGGTGTCTGAGGTAATGTTGGAAAAACCATGCGATGGGTTGAGTATGGTGTGTTCCCTGTGAAACTCCCTGAAATTTGGTTGCCTTTATGATGGCGTTGGGAGGTAGGTCGTTAGTGATTAGGTTATGAAGAGAGAATGACGACTTTCTCATAGGAGTACATCCTCTTCGTTCTTGAGGAACTGCACTAGTTACCAGAGGAGTGAGTTGTTATCTAGTGAGGCCACCCTTCCTGTTTCATCTCCTCTGCATGAGCTCTTTTCCCCTCCTGCTTTCCATCATGAGTTGAAGCAGCACAAAGTCCTCACTAGAAGCTGAGTAGATGCCAGTGCTATGTTTAGACTTCTCAGCCTCCAGAGCTAAGAGACAAAATAAACCTCTTTCTTGTATAAGTTGCCACTCTCAGGTATTGTGTTATAGCAACAGAAAAGAGACTAAGACAAACTGAAYGGAGAAGCTCCATGCCCAGCAGGGAGGGGGAGTTCAGGATAGAAGACTGGRTATGAGAAGAAAGGTTAAAAACAAAAAAGTGAGACCCTGTGGCAAAGGCCATAACATGGAAGGACCTTGACTATATTCTTATTTAATAACAAGTAAAATGGGAAAAGGAACTCATTTTACTCAAGATTTGATTGTGTAATAATTTAGAACTATGAGCCACAAATAGTAGAATAAATAACCCAAAACTCCTAAAAGTAGATTCTCTTTGAGAAGCATCAACAGGTGGGGGCCTGTGGCAATTTTTCATTAGAAGCCTCTTTTCACTACCTGGCTTTTTAATGTGTATATATTACTTAGATAGAATAATATTATTTAATAAAAATGTCATGGTAAAAAAATTAGAAACTTCAGAAATTTATCAAGAAGAAAACTAATATAACCTATTATCTTTTTTGCTTAAGGATTATATCGTTTTGGCAAATTKCACCTTTTAGTCTTTTTCCTTTATAATTATGTGTTCACTTTTTATGTGGCTTTATTATTTCTTTTTTTGTTTTGTTTTTTCTTTTCTTTTATTCCTTTTTGTTTTTAGTTTTACAAAACTGGGCCTATCACTTTTAAAGTGCTTTTAAAAAGACTAAAATGTCCAGCAAAGAAAGTCTTTTTAAATAACTCCATATGAGGGGAGCATATTATAATGGTGGAGCATTTTAATTATAATGGTGGAAAATGGCATATTTTGGCAGTGTTCACCAATTTCTGTGATATCTATAAAACAAGTCCTCTGATATTTAAGTAAATAGGCCAATTCTTCTCATCATTCCCAATGCTAGATGTCCTCCTGATCGAATAATCAGGAATAATGATAATGAAGACCTCCTGGAGGTACCTCATATCCCTAATCCTTACATAGGTTAATTTATTTGGGGAACACCCCAAGCAATGGTTTCTGATTAATTCTACCATATATACTTTTTTTTGTGAATCTACCTATTTTTCTACTGATTATTTTATATTTATGATTTGCACCCCAAATATTCCAAATCCTGGACATGGAGCACACGGGGTGAGGGGAAAGTCTTAGGAGACATGTGGGTCTCAGTTTGGAAGCAGCTCTGCTACCAGTCAGAGGTCTCTGAACCTAAGAGGCCTCTGCTGAGCGTCATGTGTAGTATGGCATATATGTTACATTACATTATCATATGAGGTTATTGTTTATCAGGTAATGATCAGTTAGATAATCTGAATATACAATCTTTTTCTCACTTCAAACAGATATAACTGCAGATGTAGGTCTAAGGAGAGATATAGAAATATAATGCCAGACATCAGGGCTCATCAGAAATATATTTCCTAGTTTACAACAGTGTTAATTTATTAACTTCCGTGTCTAGAGCCAGGGGCAATTGGAATACAAAATGCTGGCACAAGAGGGATTTCCTGAGACCACTGGCCCTCTGTTGCAGGCAGAACTTGACTTTSATTGTATTCAGTGCCAAGACACTTCTCTGCCTTTTGAAATTCTTTGCTCTCAGGTGTAGTCCCTGTCCCTGCTTCTCTGTGGTCCCTCCCCACAGCAGTGGGAGTGACTGGAGCACACCCACCATGATTCTTAGGTCCTAAAGCCTTCTTCAGCTTCCAGCTCATGAAAGAATGATTTGAAATACTAAAGGTGTAACTTTAACTCATCTACAGATTTTGTTAAAAGTCAAACATTAAAAAGAAAGTGATGGTTTGGAAGAAATCCCTGTTAACCACGTCAGCACAGACCCAGAAAGGAAGAGACGTGAAGAATCTGGCTCTGTGGGCTTCAGGTGTTAGGAATCTGGAGATACTGAATCATGTTCCAACTGACACCCATAAGTTAAAAATCAGCAGGAGATACTGAATCATGTTCCAACYGACACCCATAAGTTAAAAATCAGCAGGATGGTCCACTGATAAATGTTGGCAGTCATTTTCTGAACAAGAAAAGACTCCACAGTACTTATTACAAAACCTCAGTTCCAAAACGAGTCAGAAGGCACTGGAAATCCTCACTTGCTCTGTTTCCTCCTCTGTGAGGGGCTCAGACTTGGAGGAGCGCCTGTGTCTAATCCAGTCTCATCTCAACACCTCCAACGTACCAGGCATGCTCTAGGCACCGAAGAAGTGGTAGAATTAATTAGTAAAAAATGAGTATGCACCCAAAGAAGGCAGAGAAGTGTCTTGGCACTGAAGACAGTGAAAGCCAAGTTCTGGTACAAAGTGCTTATTCTTTACTTTATTTTTAAAATTTTTTTAGGTAGATGCCTTCATAAATTTGACTCTATTCTCATGTATACTACTTGAATGGAATTGGTGAGTAAGCAGTACCTGGGTAGGGAATCTTCCCGTAGGTGACGATTTCRTACAGGAGAATTCCAAAGGACCATACATCAGACTTGATAGTGAAACATCCAAAGTTGATTGCTTCTGGAGCTGTCCACTTAATAGGAAACTTAGCACCTAGAGACGAAGACAGGTGACTCTTACTTGAGCATCTCAACGTAAACAAGTCTYGGACACGAACCCTCACATTTTGCCCTTTTGATTTTTTAAAAATTCATATTATTTATTTTAAACAGGTCACACATATATATGGAATAAAATGGAGATGGTGCAAAATGTTGTATAAAAATGTTTGCATCTTCTTTCGATTCCCAATTTAGTAGCAAAGTTTCTTGTGTTATCTCCCAGGGATATTATATCTAGCCTACTTGAAACATAAAAGAAAATAATAGGGAATATAAAGAGATTTATTCTAGGTTTCTGTTTGCCCCTAAAAATCAGGCTCTAAATCATAGATCTTTAGTGTTCAGATTTTCTCTAGAGCCAGGCATGACGCTGAGTCTCAATGACCCACGAGGCTGAGGCAGGAAGATTGCTTGAGCCAGGAGTTCTTGGCCAGCCTGTGCAACATAGTGAGACTCCCATCTCAAAAAAAAAAAAAAAAAAAAAAAAAAGGAAAGAAGAATTTTAATTTTTCTCTAATGAACCATTTCCATTTTTCTATTTTATGCTGTTTACATGGGCTATACATATCTTTTATTACAAATTATTTTTATTTACTTGTCTATTTGACACTGGGGATTGAATGGAAGGCTCATGTGTGCTAAGCATACACTCTACCACTGAGCTACACCCCCAGCTAGAATTATTGTTACGCTTTTGTGGACAACTATAGCTAAGCCTGAGCCAAAAGAGATTTCAGATGCTACTCCATACAGAAATGAACTATTCTTTCAGTTGCTAGGACAAAACATATTAAACTTTTAGGATTATCCTCCAGAAATARCTTGGTTAAAATAAAAATAATCCTTGTTTAATGATGCTTAGGAAAATTAAGAAAGCAGTTGGATCACTGTAAGACAGTAGCACTACAAAAATATTCACTTCACTTTTTGGGGCAAGARCATCAGAATGCCCAGGTCTTGTGCAATAAGATTGATTATCCTACCATAGGGAAGGCCAGTGGATCCCTAACTATATGCCTGGCAAAACCATATGCCAGGACTGGGWAATGTACAACTCTCTACACACTTTTTGTTCTCACATACAATTGGAATGTAGGAAAGTGAAGCAAAATATTCTTGTGGGTATTACCTTTAGTTCTGGGTGTGTGACAATGTCCATATTTTAATTTGTATTTAAAAGTCCAGAATATGTGTATGCATGTGTGTGTGTGTGTGCGGGGGGCAAGGCTAACAAGATCATTGCCAAATTAAATTCATCTCCAAATTGAAAAAAATWAAAAAGCCAGATATAAAGCCCAGAATTGCTCTTACAAATATTTTCTCTATAGCTAAGAAAAGTGTATATCTTTCATGATTTGAGTGAAAAACTTCCACCATATAATACAAAAAAAAAAAGACTATTGATCTTGTGGAATCTATTTTTGTTTTGTTTTGCTTAATTGAAATACAAATGATAGTGCTGATGAAGTTAATTATGGAGATCATGGAGATCACTGACTTTTTAAAAATAATTATAATAGAACCATTCACAGATATCTTGAATATTGTACCAGTTGTTTTTTAAATAATGATTTTTTGTAACTGCTTTGTTAAAGACAAAAGCAAACTAAAATGAGACAATAACCAAACACTTAAAGAGGCTGTCAGAACGCACCTTCCCTTGCTGTGTACTCGTTGTCTTCAATGACTCTAGCAAGACCAAAATCTGCAATCTTGCACATGAGTGACTCAGATACAAGGACATTGGCTGCTCGCAGGTCACGGTGGATGTAGTTCTTCCGCTCGATGTAAGCCATGCCCTCTGCAATCTGAAAACAAAACAGGCTCTCTTTTTGTATGTAGCGTAGGCTATCATAGTGGACCATCAAGGAAAAAAAATATTAAGTTCCTGRAACCTTTTCGTGTATATTATTCTAATGGTTCAAGTTTTAAAGTCAGTGGGTAAATCACAATTGTTATTTGGATCTTTTCTGAAATAACCGTGCCCCCAACCAAGTCTTCAATAATGGAGGTCCCTTTTTAAAATTTTTTAAATAACAATATGTCTCAACTTTACTAATGTGTGGAGAAGCTTTTTAAGACCCTACTAAATCCTCACATGTTGATATGCAGATGTCATTATCCAACTTTTCAAATCAGAAAACACATGCTCTGGTCTGAATGCTTGTTTCCCCTGAAATCCATATGTTGAAATTCTAATGCGCTGCATGATGGTTTTAAGAGGTGGGGCTTTTGGGAGGTGGTTAGGTCACAAGGGCAGATCCTTCATAAATAGAACTGTGCTTTTATAAAAGAGACACAAGACGGTTGCCTGGGCTTTTCCATCAGCAAGGATATAACTAGAAGGTGCTGTCTATGAACCAGAGAGAGAGAGTCCTCACCAGACACTGAATCTGCTGCCTTATCTTGGACTTCCAAAGTCCCCAGAACTATGTCWGGTGTTTTGTTTTGTTTTTATAGACAGGGTCTTACTAGTTTCCCAGGATAGCCTCGAACTTGCAAAACTCCTGCCTCAGCCTCCCAAACATCTAGGATTACATGCCACCACACCTGCCTACTAAATATGTTGTTCAAGCAACCCATTCTATTGTATTTTGTTGTAGCAGCCCACACAAAGACAATAGAGCTGGAGAAAGTGACCTAATACAAATAAATTAACAGGATATCAAGAACAGGATGTCTGTCCTTGGTCAACACATCCCCTCTGTTAAGTTAATGAACAGCTCACGGAACCGGCTCTCCAGGTTCTCTGGGCACAGTCTCTCCAGGATGACCAGAAAGATTCACTTTGACAACAGAGATGACAGTGGGAAGGAATCAAAGATTTAAAAAGATCTGTATGAGAAACTACTACTCAGTGCTGAACAGAAAAAGTGGCATGGCTCTAAAATCAGGTTTTTAAGAAAGACATTTAAAAATTGTAGTTAAAGATAAGGAAGAAAGGAAGGGAGGGAGAGAGGGAAGAATGATGGGGTGGGAGGAAGAATGAACCATTTAGTTATTACTGTTAAAACAATTAGAGAAAACTGTAATTAGAATTGTTTCACAATGAAATAATTCTGCAGCTCAGCTCAGAAGAGTGGACTTTCCCTGGTCCTCAGCAGTAGCCTGCATGATCATGCAGTTCAAATTCAAATTCCAAGCCCTATTGCTTAGCAAAGGACCCACTCCTTATTTCCAGGTTTGCTTTTCATTCCCCTCTGGTCCACTTCCTGAGCTCACCTTCCGCTTAGTGAACCTTCCTTCCCTCAAGTCCTCTTCCATAATTTCTCTTTACTCACCCTAGATGGTCAGTTTGCATAAAAACCATTTCCAGCTCCTGATCGTAGTTTTATCATTATTTTTACACTCTTTAATGTAATTATGATTAGGCCAAACAGAAGATAAATACATCAAGGGCAAAAGTCACCCCTTATATCTTTTCTCGCTTGTGTCAACTGAAAACTTCAACACTGTTACCAAGTCTCTTCAGAAATTGAACCAGTGTTTTAATACTATCAGAAAACTATGTTGTTAGCACACTGCTGCAGGAATTTGGCAAGTGTTATTTTTGTGATTATAAGAATCTTTCCTATAAAGTTTTTTCAACACCCCTCTCACAGTCTGATCATCCTWGTATGCACTTCTGATGGGCATCAAGGAATGCTGTCCAGACTCCTTAGCACTGCTGAAAAGCCCTGCAGGATCCGCCCGTGATTAGCCTTCCAGCTCCTCACCAAGACCCCCCTTTCTGGTATCCTAGCTTCTACATACCCAGCCTTTGCTTGGGACATTTGCTCCCTGTGCCTTATACCTGCCTTTTTCATTCTGCTGGTCCCAGCTGAGATGGCACATCTCTGAGAAACCTTGTGGCACCCCTCTCCCCTCATATTTCCATCACCAGGGATCCCCAATCCTCACTGGTTTGCCTGTCCTCAATCACTGCAGACGTGTAACCCTCTGGCACCATGTGCAGGGCGTATCTATTCCTGTATCTCAACATGGAGCACAGGGCAAAGCATAATGACCTGGGAGCCTGTCCTTGTAAGGAATCTTGGAAGTGGGACAGGTGCTGAGCAGGGTGGAAAGGAGAGGAAGGAAAAGATTGGGTAGGTCTGTATGGCAGTGACTATGCCTCCTGCCTTTCCCCCCAATACTCACAAGCCCTTGGCACTCAGGAGATGTGCCATCTTTATCGAATTCTGGAAAATATTCAAATAGCCTCTATGGGAAGTCCACAAAAGGTGGGCAAAAAGGGCTGGGGTTGTATCTCAAAAAGGGCTGGTAGAGTGCTTATCTCACATGTGTGAGGCCCTGGGTTCGGTCCCCAGCACCACATAAAAATAAACAAATAAAGATATTGTGTCCATCTACAACTTAAAAAAAAAAGTGGGCAAAAGTGAGAACCCATGTGAAGGTAGAGCATTGCTGTGATTTTCTCTAGGAAAAACTTCAGCACATCCACAGTGGGAGTGTTGCACAGGGGCAAGGACAGGAAGAAGTTCATGGCTAAATCATTTTGGAACTGGCAAAATGGGTGATGACACAGTGGGTGATTTTGGTGGAGGCTGGGATGCAGGAGCTGTGCATTCTTATTCCCTTTGTCTGCTGTACCTTAACTTCAACAAGACTTATTAGAGCCCCAAACTGGGAAAAGTGGAGAGTGAAGATCAGACTAGCCCATGGGAAAGAATGGGAGGATACCATTGCAATAAAATGGATCTGAATGTTTGGGCTTTGGGAGACAGAGTAAGAGGCCTGGTTGAAATTAACCCAAGCTGGTTCTAGAGCCAAGAGGAGATAAACAGCTGGGTAGGAGTTGCTGACGCTATCTGGGCCTTTGTCTGTGCTCCTTGGTGATTCTGCCTTTTGAATTTCTTACTTGTCTTATCTGACATTCCAGTAATTATATACAAACTGGTTCAGGAATAAACAAACAAACAACAAAACCCCAAAGTTGGCTGAAATCTCAGCTTAGACCTGACACTGAAGTTGACAGTAGCAACCTGTGCAGGAAGCTCCTCCACACAGCACACACAGCTGGCTGCATGGACTGAGCCCACAAATGTGACAATAAAAACTCACATCCTTGATGGACGTGATAGATGGTGATGGATTTCAATGATTGGCCGTTAAAACACAAGAGCATTCCAGGAATTTGTTGATAAGGTTTATTACTTCTACCCAAGTTCTGCATTTACATAACATCTAAATGAATTTTTAAAAAATGGGCTGTAATCTCAGCCATTCAAGAGTCTGCAGCAAGAGGATTCAAGGTTTAAGGCCAGTCTGGGAAACTGAGTGAAATTCTGCCTCAAAATAAAAATTAAAAAGGGCTGGGGTGGCTGGGACTGTGGCTCAGCGGTAGAGCTCTCGCCTAGCATGTGCAAGGCCCTGGGTTCGATCCTCAGCACCACATAAAAATAAATGAAATAAAGGTATGTGTCCAACTGCAAATAAAAAAATAAATATTTTTTTTAAAAAAGGGGGGCTGGAGATATAGCTCAATGGTAAGGTGGCCCCAGGTTCAATCCTTAATACCAAAGCAAAAAAGAAAACCAAAAAAAAAAAAAAAAAAAAAGGAGGAGAGAACATAAAAATGATTCTCTGAAATAACAACAGACTTGCAACAAGTGTGTGTTTACTTTGGCTTTCCTTTCTGCACCACAGGGTTTTAAGGAGCTCAGCTTCCAAAAAATAATTAGAGCGTTTATCAAGACAGGACTCAAAACAATAGATTAGCCAAGTTGAATAAATGAGAGACATGGGAGCAAAATAAAAAGCATTCAGGTATGTCTTGCATTCGGGTTCATAAATACTGCGACTCTCTTCTTGCATAAAAATTAGTTCATTGTCTTTATTTCCTTGATTTGTAAGCAYTGTTTCTTCTTGGTTTATTTTTTTAAAACCTTAATTTTTAAATTTTATGTTTTGGGTTTTAGTATTTCTTTTGGCTAAAGTAAATTTGGCCCCACTTTGCAATAGCAGGAAGAAATCAGGCTAATGAATCTAGGATCAACTCTTCTTTCATGAAAGTCCTTCTTCCTTCCCCAGGGCCATGTAGCAATTAGCACAGCAGAAAGAGATGTCCCATAAATACATAAAACCAAGGCTCTGCTGTCTATGGGGACCCTGCCAGCTGAGAGCCCTGGTATCCTGCTTTCTATTGTTCCAGTAGCTCAGAAAGACCCCTGGTGTGGGAGGTATGTAGAGTCAGTCAAGTCTGATGAGAAAAGAATCTATTGGATTCAGAACAGTTTTATGGTTTTGTGCTCACAGTATCTTACTATGATGATGAGACAGGTAGATGGGTAGATAGATAGATATTAACTGAGCACTTCTTATGTACTAGACCCTGTCTTCTATCCTTTATACCCAATTCATGTTTCATCTTAATAAAAAAAAAATCTATCAGCTAGGCTTTATTTTCACCAAACAGATGCAAATGAGGCTCAGAGAAATCAAGGGACCTGCCAAAAGCCAGAGTGAAAGCACCATTTATATCAGGTGTGTCTGACCTCCAAGTCCATGTTCCACAATGTCACATGTGTAAGGGAGTTCAAGCTGGTTATTGACAATCTGGTTATAGAAGCTTCTGGAACCCATAGTTTTCATGGAGAGACTACTTCTTTAATGAAAAGAGACAAAAAGACATTTGAGGTTTCCACCTAGAATTCAACCCTTGGTAAGCCACATTTCACCCTTCAGAAATGGCACCGTGAACTCTCCCCAGTGGGAGTTCAGGATACTCAACTTGGAAGTACATACAAAGCCTGGTTTGTCTGAACAATCCAGAATAGTGTTTCTTAATATTTTCCCCCCATTATCA